CCATCTCTTTCGTATCGGTGGCCATTTTTGCGAAGAAAATTTAGTAAGGAGGCGGGCGACCAGACTGCTGCCCCAAAGGGGTGGGGAAAGAGTTCCGCAAAGGCGACGGCGAAGTGCAACGAGATTATCTGATCGATCAGATATTTTCCATCAGATAAGATTCCGTCCTGCCAGGGGGGAGGCGATACTTAACAGTTGGCCCCGGGTCAGTGGTTTGACCAGATTTTCCCAATTTCACCACCCGCACCATCCGACCGTCATCACAGAGCACGCCGCTGGGGGCAAAGGCTAGAGTGGACCCGGGTTTTGTCCGGCTTGGCTTGTAACTTGGCTCAGCCCTACCTAGCCTTATGGATTCAGGGAGAAAAGGGACGGCTGCCTAGCCAGGGTGGAGCTCTGGTGGCTCCTAGTGTCTTGTATCTCGTGTTGAAAAAACCACATCTTCATGCCATTCTGATATCCATCCCCCACCATGAGATTGTAGGTTATACACAAGACCAAAACCACGGCCCTCGTTTATTCATTGTTTGGAATTGAGCAATAGTGTCTCCCTGATCGTGCGGACATGTTCTTGTGCGGTACGTATCCACCTTTCGGCCCATGCTGGAAGGGTGGTCGGCTAAGCGTTCGGCTAGTTTGACCCGATGATGAGGGTGATACGGGCCAAAAGGGATAGGTGGCCAGCCACTGACCCTCCCCTCGCCCGTGGGTACATTCCACACTAGTTTCGCAAATGAGGGTCTCAGTGGAGGGAAACCCTCGAATCAAAGACAACAATTCCGTTGTGCAGCAGCCCTCATCAACAAAACTGATATATTATCTGATTGATTCTCGACGAGGATGACGTTCTAACCCAACCGGACCCCGGGAATGGGTTCGGGAATGACAAGGTGCTGCTGCATAAGATAACTCTACTTCACTCGTCCGTGCTGCTAATTACTCCGCGGCGTGATTTCAATCGTGGTAGCGAGCGCGATTAGACCATTTGAAGAAAAAACGCATTGGGTTTCCGTGTTCTTATCAGATCCCGCTAATGTCAACAATTATCACCCAAACACAACACAATAAGTCCCTGTGAATTCGATGCCGCCCTTCAGCCCTATGAGGCGTAGGGCTGAGCAGATCTTTCTCATGGCATACGATCCAGTGCAGATCAAGAAACGCTTGTCGAGCCATCAAGGGACATAAGGCTGAGGTGGGGAGCCAGCCGGGTGAAGTGGCAGCAAATCCATAATTGTCGTCTACGTCTATGGCCCCAGAGGATCAGATAATCTCGCAAGGTGCACCTTTTTTCAGCATAGCGCGCGATAAGAGTCCGGAAAGGACGCCAGGCGTGGAGCTGTGCAAAGCAATGACTTTTCCCGGCTCATCCTCTTGGCCAGGCTTATCATCTGCCCAAGTGTTGATGGACTCTTGCGCTTGCTTGTCGACTAATGCACAGCTGCGCGATTTAATTTCTTCCTCCCCGGTGAAGGACCACTTTTCACGGGTGAAGAAATGGCCGCACTCGATTAAGCTCCCTAGCGCAACCGATCGTATCATCCGGAGCGATATCTTCCAGATGGCAAAACGAAGCTCGAGTTTTTAGTTAATACTCGGTGGCAAACCAGCTGCAGGGAAGGTTTGGAACTGACCGGCCCATTTGATCCATAAGCACGGGGAACGATCAGATAAACTGCCAACAATTATGACAGCTGCACACCACGCGGCGATTGATAACCGGAAGTCGATCCCCGTTTTTACTGTCTCAACAGGGAGAAGAAGCCACTAGTCGAGCCAAGTGGCACAGAGAAGCCCCATCTCCTTCCCTCCAGGATGATGGGTTACATCGGCCGACCAGGTTGCACCGGCTCCAATGGCCTTCTAGGTAGGCACTAGCCGGCGATGTCTCAGATTACCCCTCTCGTACACATGCCATTCACCCCTTGATCTGTTCGTGCGGTAGTTGAGGCATTCTGTGTGAAAGACTGCACTGGGTAGAGGTATGTACTCGAATGCTGATCAGGTTGCAGCGGTGTCGCATAGATATAATCGTGGTTATCGGATTCGAAGCCTTCTTTAGGCTGAAAGTTGTAAACTGCTGGTTCGGAGGAGCAAAAAGTCAAAGAGATTGCAGCCACCACACGCAGAGTTGACTAAATCACATTAGCTAACATTCCACCCAGTGGAGATTGTACTCAGGGAAACGCAACACGAGACCAGACAGGAGCGCACACACACACACATACATAGAGACATACCGGCTAAAATCACCTCCCTCTTTACAATGATTCCATGTATTTCTTGGCTTCCATGCGTAGAGAAGATCCACTCTCACGGAAGAGACACTCTCTGATCTCGGACAGGGCCGGGCTGATGGATTGTGTGGATTTGTGGAAAACAAACATTCCGCGGGCGGAACTGCTCCCCTTCCTTCCCTTATTCCAAACACTGCACGTGACCTGGCCGCCATCGGCATCAAAACTAGCATTACGAAGAGGGATTTGAGTCAAGTCTGACTAAAAACATATTGAGTTTTGAGGTAGTCTGGTGAGTTTGGTATATAGCGTTGTGAAGAAAGTGTGAGACCCATGAAGGGAAACCAGACTTGGTCTACAGTATGGGGGCGAATAGTGAATGGAGGCTGTTTGGCTCTGCTGGACGAGATATATATCCTTGCAAGATTTCCACCCACGTCGTAACCAGAAGTGACAGTCACAGATATAATCAGGAGATAGCCATTACAACCAGACGCATGTCTAGAATCTCAAGCCCTGTATGATTCCTAAGTAGGGGTATAAAGAGTCCCAAAGAAGAAAAAGTACACAAATATCCAGCGAGTCACCATAGGGAAAAAAGCCACAACAAACAAGCTTACAACATCCCATTGCAGGGAATAAACCCTCACGCGGTCGGAAAGGACTTCTGCCGGATGGGCAGGTTCATCGTGCGAGGCTTGCTCTTCGGCTGTACCTCAGCACCTCCTGCACTGTTCTGCACCCCATCACTCGGCTGATCGGATTTGTTGATCGTCTCCTCCCCGCGCTCGTGCGCCTCGGTCTTCTCCCTCCGCTTGCGCAGGAGCTTGTGTTTTGTCTCATCCGCCTTCTCGTGCAGCGCCCGTACCTTGCGTTTGGTGCGCGTGTAGCCCTCAATTCCGATCAATACGGCGTACGACTTGCTGATCGAGACGCCTGACATGTCGACGCCTTGGTCCTGCAGGGAGTGCACGAAGGCGCGGAAGTTGGCAGCGGGCGGGCGGTAGTGGCCACTACGCTTGGGTCAGCTCTTCACTCCGGTCGGACATTGGTGAGAGTGGTGAGGGAAATTACCTGAGGGGTGCCAGACTCCGCAACTGGCCATTACGTATCTTAATCAACCCGGCGGCGGCGATGCGGGCGCCACGGAGAAACGACGAGTGCTGGAATGCACCGGACTCTTTGATGCCGACGAAGAGCCGGAACGAAGTATCGGCCACCTACATCAGCAAGACCCCGTCAATGACCGCGACACTATACAATCTCAAGAAAAGGGCAACTGACGAAAATCCACATGTCCTCTTTCCGTTTGGACGACTTCCCCTTCAGCGCATTCAGCATCGTCGCCGGCGTGGTGTGCACGAACTTCTTCGCCACCTTGGCCGCCTTGTACTGATCGGTATCATGCTTCCCGATTGTATCATCATGCACACTTTCCGTGGTACTAAAGTCTGACGACGAGAGCGAGGAGAGCGACGACGACGATGACGACGACGAAGTCCCAAACGACGCCTCGCCATCGGCAGCAGCATCGTTCCCCTTGAACCGCGGGGCTTTCTCCTCCACCGGCACCACACCATGCAGACTATCCTTGAACCGCTTACTATCCGTCCACACGAGCTCGTTGTTTCTCGCCCAGCGGAACCGCCCCGCGGTATCGACCGTCACGAGGTAATTCATGCGCTCCTCACGGCTCAGGTAGCGCACCTGCTGGCGCTCGAGCTTCTCGCGCGGACACTGCGGGAGATCGAGGTCCTTGCCCTCGCCGTGGTCGAGCCAGTAGAAGAAGTTCTGCTGCGTGGGCGAGGTCTTCCAGTACATGTGGTAGACGCGCAGGTTGCTGCCGTGGCGGTGTTTCAGGTCGACCATCTCCAGGAAGTATTGGAGGTCCATCATCTTGGCGGTCGTGCCGGCGGGGAGGTCGTGGTGGATGGCCGGTTCATTGCTATTGCTGGCGCTGGCGGAGGTGTGTGGCTCATGCTGTGTGGAGGTTGTGGTCGACGCGGGCTCGTCGTGGACGGCGGGGAGGAGGTCATCGTCATCGTCCCCTCCGGCTCGCTTGGCGACGCTGACGGCGCGGAGCCAGTTTTTCCGCGCGTGGGCGGCGCTATCGAGATCGCTGGTGTCTTCGGGCGCGGAGGGTCGATGGATTTGACGCCATTCGGCTTCTTTGACGGCCTGTAGAGGACGGTTGGGTCAGCGACGAGGGGAATCGGAGGCGGGAACGCGGTCGCGGGAGATTTTACCTCGATCAGTCGCGATGTGTTCTGTGAGTGCTGCGAGAGTCCTAGCCCGCGAAGCTCTCTTCGTGTGCGATAGCCGCGATACACTCGCTTGGTAAGGAACTAGGTCAGCGACGCAGACAAGATTTTGAGGAGATTGAGGTTCAGTCGAACCTGGATTGTTTGCGCGGCGTGTTGCTCCTTATCGGTGACGTCACGGTCGGTGGGGTTCGGCTGGTCGGGCGGCGGGGGAACTGGAATCGTGTTCTCTGCACTCATCTTCACGCTCTTCATGTGAGACTGTTTGTGAAATGTATAAGTACTAGTATCTCAAAAATAGAGAAGTCTAGCAAAAGTATCAAAAGGTGGAAGGAAGATGGCAGAAAAGACACGGGACAAACACGGGACAAAAAGGAGATCGTCGCGACGTAAGGCTGAGAGATTGACATTTGGAGGCGTGCCCATTACGAGCGCCAAGCATCTGATAAGTCCAAATATGGTTACAATCACAAGCCGGTTGCCATTCATTTGCTATCGACATGCATTGAAGAACAAGCGCAGAGATGTTCTACAGTCATCTATGACAACGAAGTCTCTAGGCATCATCTCAGTCAGACCTCGGTTGTGCCACTCAAATCCTCCCACAACTGACAACGCTGCACCGACAACGCAGGCACCACCTCCATCGCAGTGCTATTCGTCTGCAACCGCAATCGCGACCCTTTACCCCAGGTGTTCCACTCCGGCGCACCGTTATAGCGGAGAGGGTTCGGATCGAGCTTCATGGCAAAACTGATAAAGTAGTGCATGGTCACTGGGATAATCCCAGCATTGTAGCTGAGATACGACGACGTGCTCCTGAGCGCCCCGGTGCTGCCCGCACCAAATATGGCTGGTAGCTCAAAGGTATGCGGAACACCGATGCCACCAGCGAGGTTTGATTGATCGAGAATATTGACTCGGTAGTTCCACGTCGAGTGCGGGAGGTGCTTCGCAACGGATGCGGTCAAATGGTTACCGGGACACGTGAAACATGCATCACCGTAAGCATCGGACGAGGTTCGGAACCAGGCTCCATGTTTGGGTAAAGGGCTTGTCTGCGGATACGCCTCCAGGATTTTGTCTAGCTGTGCTGCAGTCAAATGAGGGTAGTTGTTCTTGAAGAATTGCGACACATCCGAGCGAGTGCTGGCGTTGTAGGCAAAATTCGAGCCTTCGTCCGTGTCGTCACCCACTAGGACCGGCACCTTGATGAAGTTGCCCTTCTTGAAGGCATCGTACAGAAGCTCCGGTACCAAGTTTCCATCAGTTACTGGTAGCCAGTACCAGTCGGGAAGTGGGCTACTGCTGCCTCCTGGGAAGGGAGAAGCTGTATTGGCACCTTGAATGGTTGCGATGTCGAGTTCCCGGAGACATTGGAGAGAATTTGTTGCCTTGGAACAGCCGGTGTCGTTGACAAACCGCTCGTACTGGAATTCCATCTCCGCGACCGTGCGCTGAGTGGGCCAGAACGACGATTCAGCGACCGCGCCCACAAATAGCTTCTCATCCTTTCCTCCAAACGCCGTGAGGTGGAAAGCCACGGATCCTGCGCCCGCGGAGACACCGTGAATGACGATGTGGTCTGGATTTCCGCCAAACTGTTCTTTGTCAGTCTCAAGTGACCCTCCCGAGATGATTTGGGAAACACGTATTACGTACTGATGCAATATGCTGTTGAATCCAATGCATAGCCTTGCGTTGGTCCAACAACCCAACATTCAAGTCGCCGTTCTTCCGCACTTCCTCACCAGCCAGGAAGCCCAACGCTCCGACGCGATAATTGAGCGTGACGAACACGAGCTCGTGACCAGACTCTTTTACCACGGCTGTGCCATTGTAATTGGCATTGGAGTTCTCTGCGTATCCTCCGCCCTGTATAAAGAACCACACCGGCAACCTCGATTGTGGCGTAGCTGTTGAAGGCTTGAAAACGTTGATGAAGAGGCAATCCTCCGTCCAGTTAGCGGGGGAGTTGACTTGATCGACGCCAATGCAAAGTGGCCCATACTGGCTTTCTTTATCAGTATGGGGATAGGAGCAAAGCTTTGAATTGGATGTAGGGAATGAAGACTGGAATATACCTCCGTGGCAGCCTGTAATGTGTCGTTTTTCACGGGATCCTGGGGCGCTCGGAACCTAAGATCTCCGAGGGGTGGAGTTGCATAGCGCATACCCAGGAATTGATCTACTCCTCCCGCTAGACGAGTGCCTTGGTACTTGGAGTATCCAAGGTCCACAGTGGGAGCTGAAGCGCCATCTGCAGAGCTGGGCAATGCGCTAGCGACCTGGGAGATAATGGCCAGCAAGACAAGAAGCCTCATAATGTCAGAAAAGCTCTGTTAGTTCTACACGGAGAGGGAAAGAGCCCACTATGTTGCGACGTATGCTCCACCATGGGGTTGACTTTATGTAGCTGTCCGCTTCTTCTTCTTCACTACTTTTCCCGCATCGTGCGGGGTTTGCAAGGAGAGCTATGTTACCAGGCCGAAGACTTTTGCCGGTTGTAAAGCATCCTGCAGGTATTGTGGGGGAATTGACACAATTATCCAGGAATCGGAACGTCTAGACATGCGAGGGGGTCGGCTTAATTGAAAGGAGTTTAGAAAACGGGAAAATAGCCCGGAAGGAGGTGAATGGGCCCCCCATCCTGAGCAAACAATGCGAGCTGGAACGGGTAGGGGTAATTGGGCTCGAAGGACGACCGATTGAAATACATTGAGATATAAGCTTTAAATGACGCACGATAATTTGAAGGTGTGCTATTGTTGGCCCGAAGGCTCATGGTCTGACCCTGATGACTTCAAAGGATTTAAGGCTAAATAGAAGGTCTCGGGGTTCGCTCCCGCATTTACCGAGGGTGACGAGGGTGAACTTTCGGATACCGCGAGGGGCCTGCCGGTTTGAGTGAGAGGGATGGCAGGATCATATCCCATATTGCGAGAGAAGACAAATCAGTCTTACTACTCAATCTTGCCTTGGAAACCAGATATTTGACCTGAGGCAGCGCGTCAATTCATTGGCGTAGATGGTGGAAGTGAGGGGTAAGTCAACTGGCAGGGATAGAGAGGGCCACAAGCACGTGAGCCACTATCTCCGCACAATTAAGTAGCCGCTGCTTAGAAATGCGCACAATATCGGTGCATCAAGTCACAACCGTTTGACATCCACAACAGGCCCTTTGTAAACCCACCTTCCCTGAAACATGTACATCGCAACGCTGATCAGAAACACCCCCAGGAATAGAACAATACTCCAATTGAAATTCTTCAAGGTGACCGGGATTTCCGGGGGCCAGAATGACCAGAATAGCGCAAAGAGAACATACACCAGGCCCGTGGCGTTCATCCAGAGACCGTGTCGGCCGAGGCTCCAACGCCGGTGCGGCAGTGTATCAGGAAGGTAGATTTTGCGATACATGACACAGCTGATTGAAATTGCATAGGTCCACATGAGCGCGGCAACATTCAGGGATATAATCGCATTGAATGCCGTGTCTGAGCCGATATTGATGAGAGAAAGAAGGCCGCTAATGATACACGACAGTGCGATGGCATTGACCGGTAGCTTGTAGCTCTGGTTCACATGCGAGATCCAACCTGCAAATGGTAATCCCTTGTCTCGAGCGAAGGCATACGTTTGGCGGGCCGTCGATGCATTGAAAAGAATGTTGCTGAAGATGACTGGGATAAGTATGATGGCCGTTAACCCGTTGACCCCTGCGGTGGAGACGGCCTGTTTGAACACGTAAATAAATGGAAAGCCTGTTGGGTCATTCAATGCATCCTCGACAGATGGCATGGCAAACATTAGGGTGATGACAGTGATGAGCGCCAGGATTCCATTGCTAAAATAACCACCAACGATGGCGAGAGGCACATAGCGGCCGGCATCCCGGACCTCCTCGGACATATGGGCCGTGGCATCAGAGCTAAGCGACCCATAGATGGCGGAGATTTGTCCAATCATCAGAGCCAGCCCCGCATTATGCCAACCACTATATGTCTTGATCTCCGTGAACACAGCACTAGCAGATTGGCGAGGGGCCATGGCCCAGAGAACGACAACCACAATCACCCAACAGAGGGTGTGTAGAGCGAGCAGCACGTTCTGGATCCGGGGCATCCAGCTCGCTGCATAGACATTGAAGAAGTAGATCACCAAGATCATGGCAAAGACAAAGAGTGTGCCTTGCCATCTCGTGGGTTCGTATTTCGGATTGTGTACGCTGATCAAGCCCTGGATTATAGTGCCGGTGAGGAAAGATCCAGATGCTGCACCCGCCTGCCATGCCAGTACGGACATCCACCCTATGCAAGTTAATGAGACATCTTAGACCTCAATGGTACAAGGTATTGCAAACCGGTCAAATAGCTCAGGAACTTTTGGTAGCGTGGGGAGGCAAACTCTGAAACCCAGTGGTATTGTCCTCCGGATGTAGGAGCCCTATATTTTCAGCAAGGTATTATTAGAGCACACCCTCTGGCATCCTGGGGAATAGAGGCATGGCTGACATAGATGCCATTTCTGACAGCGAAACGATGATGAAGCCAAAGCCAACAAAGGTCCAGACATAGGTCCAGACCAAACCAGCCATTCCCCCATTCTCAAGGCCTTGTGTATTCGATCTGTCAGAGAGTCGCTATTAGGTCTGCCTTTGAGAGGACAAGCTGCATAGGTGTCCTCACATCAGGATAAATTCCCAGGTGGCCTGGAGGACCGATGCAAAACTGAGAGCAGCCAGCGGTCGGAGATTCCTCTAAGACGAGATCTGGTGTCAACGTTCCAATCGGCTCAATTATTAGGAATTTTTGAAGGGTACGCAGAGGAGGTCAGCTGTCAGCTACCAACCTTGAATTCCTGTGCCTTGCCCATGCGGGTCATATCAGTGTGGTCATGGCGGGTGCCCGTTTCTCCATCTTTATCCTCCGTGGGGATTTCGAGAGGATGGCATCCTGTCGCTGTGATCAGATCCTCTGCCTTTCGCGAATTGGACAGACCTCCAGACGCTGTTGCCATTGTTGATAGACAGTTGGAAGGGTGAAGATGTGAGTCAGGCCAGAACAGCAAAGGCCGTGAAAAGGATGGAGAATGGAAAAGGGGCAATCGACAGGTGAAATTGTTGTGCAACGTGAGAGGGAGTAGAAAGAGTAGGAAAGGGAAAGCGGCGTGAGAGTTCACGGTTCAAGGTTGAGGTGGTTGTTTGGTTTGGTTTGTATGGACAGGGATCTCGTTGACTACCGAACGATCTCCCTCTCTCACTGCTTCTTCTCCTTTCTCAACCTCTCTCAGCCGTCCTGCAATCTGTTTCAACATCATCATCTCTTTGCCCTTTTTTGATTCCAATCCCACAAATACAGTCCCTTCAGTTATTCACCGACCGTTGCAGTACCCCGCCCCCCTTCCACCGATTTCAAGCATGCCTTCCGTCATTCCTCCCGTGGAACCTCGTTCTGGCTTCTAGGCGTATGCACCCTGGGCCCTTTCTGACATGCCCCAGCTGGTCTTGATTGAAATGTGCTGACCTGGTGTGTAACCAAGCTACAAGGGTCGTCTCCGCCACTCGATCGGCACCTTGGGCGGCAAACCACTCCTCTTATTGCCTCTCTTCCATCGGGATGGTTGAATTGGGGATACCGACCGGTGCAGCACGTAACGGAACGGAGGTAAAGCACGCTTGACACCACCACGTGAGACTAAATCATGGCGGGAAGGAAAACGAGGTAAACAACGCGCTGGAAAGTCGTGTAACGTACTTCTGGCGACCCAATTCCAATTGGTCTCTCGCTTGTCGCAACGACGAGACACGTCAATGGTTAGCATCCAAGGAAATTCATCTGGCTGTGACCGGTCCGAATCTACAATTGCTGCCTAGGGACTGCGGTGGAAGCAACATACAAGGCCACTATCGTGGCTGATACTATAATTCGACGCCATTCGATAAATAAGTTGCGAGCCCTGGGCCCTCGGTCGACAGCGGTCCTTCTTTTCCCATCACGTCAGTCAAGATTGAGTGACACGGAAATCATGAGTGGGTGAGCGCTACCTCGGCCAAATTGGAGAGCTTGAACAAGTCAAAAAGAGATTTAGTTCAGCCGGTTTCTCAATTCTTTAAAGGACATGCGATGGTATTAGACTGCCTTCATGTACCCTCAGTTTCATGATTTGCGACCGGTGGTCAAGTGGCAAAGTATGCATAAAGCCACGCTAGCTATTGTCCGAGACAGCAGGGCCGTCTGTCTATTATAGGAAAGGATCAAAATCTGGACCAAAGTCCCCGTATGTACGTTCAGCTTCAGGAAGAAGAAACCCTCGAAAGTGGTGATGCAGACAGCCGATAGGCGCCGAAGGTAGCAATCATGGCAGGGTGTTGGACGGGGTTGCAAGGGTCATCTCTGCTCTGTCGCATCTGGCAATTTTCCAGAGGAGCAAAAGCAAAAAGAGGATGTAAAGAAGTCATCGGCGTCGCCAGCTAAGCTGACCTTTATGCTCTCCATGCATTGCTGGTCTCCTTCAACATGGTTCAGTACAGTCCCTTCTCTTTGGGCTGCCCGTTGATATACTTGTTCTCGAGATGCAACCTCCGTTCTTCCTGTTCTTCATCTTGATCTCGCGATAGCTTCCGCCCCGATGGCCACTCTGCCCTCGTCCCTGCCGCCCGGGGTTTCTCCTCCATTGACCGAAGAAAACGAGCATAATCATAATGGCTTGATTGTCATCATCACTTCCTTGGGACTCTTTCTCGTCTTGGCTTCTCTCGGAATCCGGATGTTCGCATCCTCGAAGCGAAGCATTCTCTTACGTGATGATTATGTTCTGTTCGTAGTTGTGGTAAGGTTGCAGCTCTGCTGAAACAACCCCGCCGGAAACTCTTTTCCCGCTGGCTAACTGACTGATGTTCAACGACCTTAGGCGTGCGCCTGCGCGCAAGTGTCTCTGGTGCTAGTCCAAGTTCACTTTGGCTGGGGCCAGTCAGAGGATTTACTTCGTTCTGCAGACTCCTCCTCTATGTTGAAGGTACGTACACCTCTCTGCTCTGTTAGTATGATGACTAACCCCTACGTGTCCTATGCACAAGGCCGGCTATGCAGCAGACCTATTGTATATCCTCATCCTAGGACTGTCGAAGATATGCACAATGCTGTTCTACCAAAACCTTTCGCTGCCTCGGACCAAATGGATGATCAAGTCTATTCTGGTGGCATGTGCGTTGTGGACATTTCTGGCAATGCTCCTGTTAGCCATTCGATGCAGTAGCGATCCTTGGGTTGATATCGACCATGAATGTCCAAGCCTTGTGAGTTTGAACAGGTTGGAGTAGTGTGAGATAAACTACGACTCACTGATCACTACTGATAGCTGCCACGCTGGCGAGCAATCAGCGCGCTCGACATTATCCTCGAAGTGTTGATTCTTTCCTACCCAGTGGTAATTATCCTGAACGTTCAGATATCGCCAAGGCAAAAGATGATAGTGTTGGGTATTCTCAGCTTCCGCATTATGTCTGTTCTTCGCCTTTCTTGAAAACACACTCCGCTTATACTCTTGTGCAGACTCATACCTCTCTCCACCATCCACTTATATTTCACCCGGAAGCAAATCCAGTCTTCCGACCCAACCCTGCTTGGAGCCTATGCCACCACGACCGCTGAGCTCCATATGAGCCTCAGCATCGTACTCTTGACAATATCATCCCTCAAGTTGTTTGTGGCGGTGTACGAAGACGAGCAAGGCTTCGCCTACACAGAGGAAATGTCCGGCTCCCATAGTAATAGTGGGCCAACTGCGCCCACGGCCTGGAAATTATCACACCACATCAAAGATCCAGCTCCTCTGCCAGGCAGAAACGGTACGGACCGCGAGCCAATCCTGCAGGGTACATCGGCATCGGCGTCATCTTCTAGGACTCCGTGCCTGCTAAAACGGACCAACGCCATCATGAAAAGTGTCCAGATTTCTGTGACGAGGGAGAGTATTGAGCTGGATGAAAGGGGAGGAGTAGATGCCAAGTCAGCAACCAATTTATGATTCTTCCTGGCTTTGGATCCAGACTTTTCAGTGCACAGGTCAGGGAAATGTGAGTGTCATGCCATAGCGTCCAGCCTTATACCGCAGGCTCGCCTGTTTCGTTAAAACTCAAATTGGATTATGAAATCAAGGCATGCAAAAATTGCAATCCTGCTCCGAGTGTTACCTGCACCAGGTGAGAGCGGTAAGAGAAGCAAAAGGGCGGTCCCACTGTTGCCGTCTCGAATGACCTGTTAGTGTAGCAACGGTAGAGCTGTGCAACAATTAGCCCAGTCAGATACGGTATGTCTTCTGGTCCACAGACAACCTGCCTGTCATCAGATTCAACAGGGGTTGAGCAATTGCTCATGTGCAAACCCGGTCGTCTGCGAGCAGGTGGTAATACCGATTCCCCACGTCTTGATTCTGCATGCATTGATTGTAATGCGGTGATGCAGAGTCCAGGATGCTTGTACCCTTAGATGAAACAGCAACTGATTAGCATCCTGCGTATCTCTTCCCAAGAGGATGGTCAAGGCTTTCCCAGCCCCTATCCTACCCTACCCTAGTTGATATGCATGGTTCCCCTCACACTGCAACCCCTTCATTCAAGACTGCTGCGGGCCCGGGGCTTCCGTCGGAGTCGAACCCACCCACCAAGGCCCCAGTCCAATCTCCATTCATATCGTGAAACCTCGGACAGGCACTATCCTCCCCACCCCGGTTAATCCCCACGAGTAACATCCTGACTTCTACGCTGGATGCCTCGATTGGGGCAAGTTTGGTGGAGACTTGACCAGGATGATCTGCATCTGTCACCACACCCCAGCAGCAACGTTTTCAACATTGGCCCTTGCCTTCAGTGCTTGACATTGACTCATTAGGTGCTCGCTGTCAAGCGGACAGTCCTAAAGCCGAGCGACCGAGACCGTTACTAATTTTGACAGCCCAACAGCACGATCCTTGCCGATCGCCAACTTCAAGCCAATGATCGCGTTTGTTGCCCGTGTTGAGCCTCCACTGTCGGAAGTCGAGCAGGGATGGAGGCAGGTTTTGCGAGTTCGTCGAAAGGGTGGGCCAACTGAGGGGTCATGTGTACTGTACAGACAATGAGGGCATTTTATTCTGAGGTATAGAGTAGTCCATGCGCTATCAGCAAGCACTAATCAACTAGTCTGCGCCCCCCAAGCCTGAAGAACTATAAGTAGAGGCTTAAATCACGCCATCGGACTCCATTATGTCCTCATCGTCCGGTGCTCTCATTGCCCACACCCTCACTTAAGCTTAACCGGTGACCCGAGTTCCCGTCCACTGGCCTTGAATCCAGCGATCCTGCTGCGCAATCGATCTAATCAATCAACCTGCCAACAACCGACCCAAGCATCAAACCCAAAGCACCAACAAGCTCCCTTCTCAACGAAAACAGAATGACCAAAACCGACCCCGCAGGCCAACAACGCCTCCTCCTGGTCAGCGTCCCGCGCACCGCCTCGAACCTGCTGCTCAAAGTCCTCAACATCCACGAGCAACCCACCCTCTCCACCAACAACAAAGGCGGCTACTTCTTCTTCGACGCCTTCACCGCCGCCGCGCAGAGCAGCGTCCTGACCACCCCGCCCGCCGTCTGGCCCCCATCCACCGTGGCGCAGGTCCGCTCCGTCTTCCAGTCATGCTTCGCCGCGCTGGAGGCCTTCTCCGCCGAGGCAGCCACGCAAGGCAAACGCGCCTTCGCCAAAGAACACGCCTTTTGGTTCGCCAACCCGGTCTCCTTCCACCCGACCGACCCAGACGATTCGCCCTCGGACGACGAGGACAGAAGCGCAGCGGACGAGAACCTCTTCCGCCTGCCCCTGCCCGCCACCTACGGCCCGACCGCCACGTTTTCGCAAGGCAACGAAACCATCTTCCCCGACGAGTACCTCCGCTCCTGGCGTCTGGCCTTCATTATCCGGCATCCGGCCCTGGCGTTTCCGAGTTTCTATCGCGCGATGCGTAAGGTTGGTGAGACGGGGTATCTGGTCGACGACGAGGAGACGCTGCGCGGCACGCTGGCGACGAATATGTCCCTGCGATGGACGAGGGGGTTGGTGGAGTGGTGTCTGCGGCAAAAGCCGGGGGAGGAGGTGCTGCTGCTTGATGCGCATGATCTCATTCATGAGCCGGCGGCGGTGAGGCGGTTTTGTCAGTTGGCTGGGTTGGAGGAGGGCATGGTCAAGTGGGAGTGGAGCGTGGGCGAGCCGCATCAGCGCAGGGGCAAGAAGGAGGAGGACGAGGGGCTTCTGACCCAGGAGCAGCGGGATTATTATGCTGCGGCTAGGATTATGTTGTCCACGCTGGAGGGGTCGTCTGGCGTGGTGAAGGAGAAGACGCCCGCGGCGGTGGATATCAGGGCGGAGGTTGTGAAGTGGAGGGCGGAGTTTGGGGAGGAGGTTGCGGGGATGTTGGAGCGCGCGGTGGAGGAGGCGATGCCGGATTATGAGTTTCTTAGGGCGACGAGGGTGAGGGGTTGAGGGTTGGGGAGGTTGCAGAGGCCTTGAATGTCGTGGCATGATAAATGTGCAGATTGTATACGATGGTTTAGATTGTATCTCGATAAAGGTATATAGTATAGCAAAGATCTTTTATAGTATTCTTTGGACCGAGAATACAGTTGCAGGCATGTATCCTACACCGGCGACACCAAACACGTTGACGCAGCAGCTGTGCCAACTGCGAACCTCTCGGACACGCAATCCCAAACAGTCCCAAAAACACAATTTCCGCCGTCAACGGAAACCCCCTCCACCGGCAACTCGCCCTGGACGTGATATCCACCCAGCCCAGGTTGACGAACAGCGTTGCCGCCGCGCACCCGGCAACAACAACAGAATATCGGCCCAGACTTGCAGCAACCCCACTCACCAAAAAAGAATGTCGTGTACAATATCCCCAAGACCATAAAGAGCCGCTGACTCGAATTCTGGAATCGGAAGCTCATGCTCCAAATCCCTGCGCTGGGATCATCCGCGACGTCCTGAAATGCATAGATCACATCGAGCATCACAACCCACAAGCAAAGGACCCCCATCATGCTGCCCGCGGAAATCTTCACCATATGAGCCTGGGACGCCAGACGAAGCCCAGTGGACTCGTACCCCCAGAGGAAGCCCGCGGCAAACATGGCCCCGGGAATGGCCTGCGAGTAGTTGGTGACACGCTTCCCAAGCGGGTAAATACAGCTGCAAACGACAGCCACGATAGGATAAGCTGGAATGCGCGGAGAAGAGCCCAGGCGGAGAGAAGAACGAGCGCTACCGCTTGGACTGCAGCGAAGATACTGGCTTGGGTTGTAGATAGAGCTCCCCGGGCCAGGGGCCGATTCGGCACCGAGACACCTTCCGGTCCAGGTCTTGGTCAAGGATATCGTTGATGGTGTTTGGAGATTGCCTGGAGCACAGAGATTGGTAGCTATCCGATTAGGCACCGAAGTACTAGGGGCAGAGGAAGGGTCTGCCAGTGGGATACAGCGGCCGCATGGACGACGCTGGTGGTACATGGAGAGTAAAGCACGATTGCATCGAGAGGATGGTTCAGCCGCGTGAGCTCGAGATAGGACCTCCAAGATGAGAGCGACATCGTCATTATGGAACCAAATGCATGCGCATGATTTGGTGGTAGAAAATGGCTATCCCGCCTCTAACATGCTGTTAGCAAGAGGCCAATCTTCGAGAAGCCAGGAGGCTAGCCTCGTACATATACCCCTCTGGTAGAACTGTTGTTCAACTGTTGTTCAGGGTGGCTTGTCCCAGACGACATTAAACTCAATAAGTATCGAATTCACATCTTTCTCTCAATCATGGAAGCAGCAGAGGAGATCAAGATCTGAAAGTCACACATTCTTGCTTGCGCGATCTTGAGGAAAGTCTAATGACTTTTTGTCGAGGCAGACTCCCAGCTTAATCCAGTACTTTGTAATTGAGAAAGACATTTTCGAAAGCTTGAAGTTACGATGTTCATCCAGGTAACGCACTTCGATCGTAGTGCATGGGTTGGTACATACTGTACAGTAGTCTAAGGTGATGCTGGAGATGAGTAAAGCAGTATCAGAGCAGTCAAACGCAACCGAGGAAAGATGCAGCTGCCACGGTCGGAGTTCGTTTCCCAGCTTGTTGAGCTGTTGGCTGAGTCAGTTGCAGGAAGGAAATTCCATCCACCTGCTCGACTCCGGCCTGAATCCGGCCTGAGATTTCTAGTGTCCACCACTGTTGACGGCCAGTTTCCTGGACCACCTCGACCATTTCGACCGCTTCTCCTTTCCTCTCAACACTGTACCACCAACTTGCCGGATTCTGATCGCGAGGAAGGACGCGCCTGCCATTGCCTTTCCAGATGACTATGTGATTGACTTATCTGTTTTATTCTCATCTCCTCATTTGACAGCACGACAACATCCTCACGAGCAAGAGAGCGGCTCTCCCGGCATCATCGCGAGGAACCCACCCGGGAAGGCTGCACCGCATCTCTTCAGAGGTAGAGACACTACTCTCAATGAATGCTAAATCCTGCTCAGAAACAGTGGTGGCCGTGAGACCGATGACCAAGCAGCACTGAAAAAATGCGACCACATCATTGAAGAATTAATCGAGGGAAATGGAATGGTCCAAGCCGGTCGCCCGATTCTTCTGCTGGCGACCCCCGCTAACATCTGTTCAAAGAAGCTTATCCACAACTATCTAGGTTCTTCGTAGCCAGCAAACCATGCTGATGTCGCACCTGCCTGCCAGCTGGAGCACAGACGAAGATGATCTTCCAAACGGTCGAACAATGTGTTGACATTACCCTTGTCAGAACTCCTCTCGGGAGGACAAGCGCGGCGATGCGACCGGGATAAAAGCATGATTTGAGATGTTAACTCAACCACGCAACGGTGTCCAGCCTCCAGGTGAGAACTTGGACGCAACCAAGATTTGCGCTCGTGGAGAAGGGCAGTCTGAGACCGGGGTGCGTCTCCGACGGGCTCCGAATTAATTCACCGGCCCTGCAGGCCAGGGGGGCCCGAGCAAGTGGACAGGGCCTCTGCATGACACGCCTCGCTGGCTTGTCCGTTGGCGACATGGGTACTAACCTGCTAGCTGGCTTCTAGTGGTTGCCGAATCACCATGGAAGCATCATCGCAACCAGTCCGACCGCCGACCGTTGGCGTTCTTGTCCGATCTCTGCAGGGGGGGATTGGCTCCCTTTTGTGTTCTGCGTCATCGGAAGGATGGTATCCCATCCAGCGTTTCATGATTGTCGGGCTACAATTTGTGGGTGCTCGTCGAAATCCCAACTGCAGTCAAGAGAGTGATTACCCAGATTCTGGCGCGAGAAGGCAGCGGTGAACTTGCGATTTTCCTCATCCTTTGTTCGCGGGAGAGTCTCACGGGGACAGATGAAGGTCGTGGCTTAAGCGATGGGCCAGATTTCGATTGGCAACCCGTGCTCTTATCGAACTCGACTGAAAAAACCAGATTTGGTTGGGTTCCCAGGTGTGAAGAGCTGCTGCAGGCGGACGCGCTGCTGGGACGGCTGCTGCCATGACCGCACTATTCCGGTGGATGCATGACTATTGTTGCTGATCAAAGGGGGGAAGGAATGCTGGGCGGTGGTCAAACCGCACATCGCCGACTGAGTGACTGAGTGGGTCAAGTTCCCTCCACCACCCGTTCACAATCTTTTACACTCCAGGCAATGCAGCTAAAGGTTGCGAACTGACTCTCTCCCCTTGAGTCCTGTCAGGATCCTGCCGGTTATGGAATAGCATCAGTCGGACCATTGCGTGTCACTGGACCCGCGATGGGCAACCCTCCTTTCCCAAGTACAGGATACGGTATGAGCAGCATTGCACTGGCTAGGACATACCAATGACACGGGAGGCCGGTCCGTCCATTGCCTTGCCGCACCAGTTTTATTGAGTTCTGTGGTTATCCGCCGGTTGCCTCGGGGGGAAGACGGATGTGAACTCAGAAGGCAGAGGGGGGAGGAAGGATGACCGGCTGGAAAGGCCCATGCAGAGACGGATGAGGGCCTACCCACTCACTCCATCCATCCACTCCCCACCCATCTTCTGCAAGACAGTTATTTTCCTCCTACATGGATTGCGGCAGCGTGTCATTATTGCAGCAGTCTCGCAGGTATTGAGAGTCTGGTCAAGCCTGGTCCAATCATTTCCCCCCTTCTCCCTGGGTAAAGAGGTTCAAACAGGGAGGATGAAACGGTGACGGTCCTGTCAAAGGTCAGGTCTCTCTTCGGGGTGTCTCTGGTGGGCCGGCCGGCCTTTGGTCGCACCCGCGAAGCAATTAAAGTTCATGGTTCAATGGGGCCCATGAGGGGGAAAAGCAACCAGTCAGACCCCCGTCGCCGGAATCGACAGGTTTGTGCTAGTCTACGTACTGCACTTTCTGCACTTTCCGGCAATTCTGCCAGTTTCTGCTGGCCCTCTCGTACCGGCGCTAGTCCCAGTGTGCAGTCTCCACTTTCGTATCCAGCCAGCGGGGATCAGACTGAACTGAGACTGAGAGGGGTTGACGGGAAGGGAAGGATGACAGCAAAAAAAAAAAAATAAGAAACAAAATGAAAAGGAAAACGTCAAAAAGAAAAGAACAGAAAAAGGGATGAATTATTATGGAATCTTTGAGGGCGGGCCCACTCGAGACGAGGACACAAGATTGCATTATTCTGCGTTGTGATCGAACCCGTCATGGGTAATGCAGTCGATCATGAACATGAGCATCATTCATGCCTGGCAGTGTCTCTAATTATTCAGCTAGAGTGTCTGTTGTGCATCTGCTCGCATTCTTTCCAACTTCGAAAAAAAAAAAAAAAAAAAAAAAAGCATCGGCTTCTGCTTTGGAGTGCAGGGTGTCAATATTGCATTATGCCACAAATGGCACCATACCGCATAAGTTACTGCTGGTGCAAGTTTAGCAGGTTAGCACCCGTGCGGTGCAGAAGAGTGGATGCGATACCCCGGGCCCGCCGTCCACCGTATTGGGACTAACCATCGTCCAATGTCCAATGTCCACCATGCGTATAGCAACTGACGGGAATGACGGGAGACGGCGTCCGCCACTAGCAAAGTAGGGCAATCGCTCTTTCCCATCCCAGCCCGCATCAAACCTCCGCTCATCGACCTTGGCTGCAATTACACGGGCCGCAAAAACAATACACCCGCTTACGGTGATGATGGAAAAAAGATCGGAGTGGAAGATGGTTGCCCAAATGGACTGCCGCAGTGCCAATGGCAAGCCATTGACAAAGTGGACACGATCATAGTGATTGTTGGGGCTGGTAGCCAACCATAACCTGGGTGGCGAGGCAATGTGCTGGCTGCACTGCGTTGTCTGCATTGCTGTGTCTGCATAATTCTGCAGCCCAGCTAGAATTATTACTGGAATCCCAAAGCAAAAGAACCTTTCCCGACCCGGTGGTCTAGCCCTTGTAGGCAGCTTCAATGGTTCGCACGGGCCTGGCCCACCGAAGGAAAGGAAGGAGATGACGAGGAGCAGTGGAACACCCCCTCCTCTTCCAAGTCTAACTGCGACTGAACATGACTAGTGTAGGTGGTTCGTTTCTTCTTCAAGCCAACCCATCGGGACCGTGTGAAGACTCATGATCCAATCCCTCGGGTCATCGATGATGGCTGCCACTGGACGTGGGCCTACGCCCTCGATACCAGTCCGCCTGCCTGGCGACACTACTTATCTGCACCTGGTCCCAGAATCTCGGGTCCACCCCCTTCCCCCCTTGATGCTCTATTCTGTTAGTGTGCTCTGTCTGTTTGCTGCTTGATCCCTGGCCTCCGACGCCATGGGTGTGGTTCAGGACTTGGTGGTACATTTCAAGTCTCTTGTAGACTCCCCCCTCTTGTTATGTGGCATTGCCACGACTCTTTGCATAGTATACTTCCTGGCTCTTGGACTGTATCGCATCACTCTCCATCCGCTCGCCAAATTCCCGGGGCCCAAACTCGCTGCCTTCACCCAATGGTATGAGACCTATTTCGAAGTGTTCAAGTCCCCGGGCGGACAGTTTCTCTTCCACTACCGGAAGCTTCACGAGCAGTATGGTTAGTGCTCGGGGTACATCTTCTATTCAATAATTCCTCGGCTGACCGTGCTCGCTGCAGGACCCATTGTACGAATCAGCCCGAATGAAATCCACATACAGGATTCCTCTTTCTTTGAGGATCTCTACTCCCAATCTTTGCCGTGGGACAAGCTTGAGCACTGGCAGCATCGGTTCGGTAACGATACCGGGCTCTTCCCGACGCCCAAGCACCATGTGCATCACGGCCGACGGGTTGCTCTAAATTCGTTCTTCTCGAAACGCACCATTACCGAGGCCACGCCGATGATGCAGGAGCAGCTGGACAAACTTTGCGGTCGACTCCGCCGGGAGTATCAGGGCACAGGAAAGGTTCTGCGGTTTGACTGGATGTGGGGATGCATTGCGTCCGACATCATCGTGCAATACTGCTTCAATCGGGGGTACCGGTTCATCGAAGCCCCCGACTTCCGCTCTCAGTTCATCCAGGCCATGGTTGATCTGCTGGATGTGGTCCACGTGGTTGCGCATTTTCCCTGGGTGTCCACCTTTATGAATGCGCTTCCGGAAAAGGTGGTCGAGGTGTTCCAACCGGGCATGAAGTCGGTGAACCATTACAACCATGTACGTTTGCTGTGAGTCCAAGGGTGCTGTTGCATACTGACCGGGAATAGGAAATGTCCAGTCAGATCGCGGAGATTCTTGCCATCAAAGCCCAGGGCAAAACGCGGGAAGCCGATCGGAACACGGTGTTTGCCGCGTTGCTGGACTCGGACCTGCCGCCGGAAGACAAGAGCCTGCGGCGACTGCATCATGAGGCTTTCACTGTCATTGGGGCTGGATTCGACACCACCCGATTCGCGATGACTGTCGCCAGCTACCACATTCTCAGCACTCCTTCGATCTATCACCGCCTTCGCGAGGAGTTGAAGGCTGCGATTCCCGATCCCACGAACATGCCGCCTCTGCAGGAGCTGGAGAAGCTCCCGTATCTGACGGGGTGTATCCAGGAGGGTCTGTTACTCCACTTCCCACTGACCAGCCTTTGTCCGTACCCTCGCTAACAAGTCCAGGCATTCGTTTGTCATATGGTGTTGTACAACGCGGTCCACGTATCTCGGACAAATTCACGCTCAACTACAAGTCGTGGGTGATTCCCAAGAACACCGCCATCAGCATGGACATCTACTCCGTGCACCACGACGAGGCGATCTTCCCCGACTCCTTCACCTACAAGCCTGAGCGGTGGCTCGGGGACCCCGTGGCGCCCGACGGCCGCAAACTCTCACGCTACATGGTGGCCTTTGGTCGCGGCACTCGGTCGTGCCTGGGCATCAATCTCGCGTACGCGGAGATGTATATTGCGCTGGCGAACATCTACCGCCGGTTCGACTTTGAGCTGTATGAGACGGGGCGTGAGTCGGTGGAGCTCTACCGCGACATGTTCCTGCCGCACGTGCGCCCTGACACGCAGGGGGTGCGGGTGAAGGTGTTTTAGCCCGAGGTACATGATCTGGGTAGTCTTCCTTTACATATATATCTATCAGAGCGACTCGAAGATGATGTTCTTAATGACACGGCCATGACTCTTGGATCTGTTTAGTGCTATTGCAGTTCAACCTCAGTCCTAATTTTAATACTGTTAATTTATAGATCAGCACAGTCAGCATTCCAGAATATTTAGTTATGATAATCTCTCCCACTCTGCAACCTCAAACCAGCTCCACAATCACCAACGAAACCTCCAACCCATCCAACTTTTTCACTACCAACTTTCCCCCCTGGACCTTCCACTGCACCTCACCCCAAACCACCTTCTCCACCCCTCTAACCTCCCAATCCAAGCCCTCAACCACCACTTCCGCCGTAGTATCCTCATACTTCAAATTGACGACACTAACCAAAGCCCTCTTCCCGACGAGGTCCACCCACCCCGCCGCATCCACCCTCGCAGCCCCCTCCCCACGCACCAGAACCCGCCTCCTCTCCACCCCTACCAAAAACCCCGTAATCTCATCACTCGTGACCACGGCCGCCAACCGGTCCGTCACTGCAGCTATTTCGTCGGAGGTCGGAAAATCCCACATGACCACCCCCATCGCCCCATGATTCACACTCAGCAGATTCATCACCACCTCCTCCTCGGCGGTCGGGTAACGCGTCCAGAACGTCTCATTCCCAAACGCCTGCGGCGCCGCCCAATGCACCTTCTCCCAGCCCACCACCTCGTCGAACTGTTGGAACGTGTCCAGCCGCGTCGAGATATCCTCAAATTCCCCGGCGCAGTCATCGCACCCGCAGCAGCCGTACGTCGCGTTGCACGGCGTGCCGTACACGGTGCTCCAGCTCGTGTTCGTGGCGACGGGGTACACATCCGACAGGATTATGTCGGCGGCGGCGGCGTAGTCCTCGTAGTAGAAGTTTGCACAGTTGAGGGCAACAGAGACTGGATGGTATGGGTCCAGGCGTTTGAGGGTGGTGTAGGCGGTGCTCAGGGTGGAAGGGGGGGTGGCTTTTCCGTCGGGTTCGTCGGCGAGATACCACAGTAGGAGGGAAGGGTGCGTGTGTAGGGTTTGGGCTTGATTTAGCATGGTGGTTGTGTTGGTGGCGGAGAAGAGGAGGTCGTATTGGAATTTGAGGTTGGTCGTGTCGGCGAGGGTCAGGTAGGGGTTTAGGGTTGTCCATGGGTAGGCGGTGTTCGTGGTGGAGAGGGCGCCCGTCGGCACGATGTGGATTACGTTGTAGTTTTGGGCGGTGAAGGTTGTTAGGGTTGTTGGGGAGGTGTCCCAGTAGAGGGTCCATTGGGCTTTGGGGGGAGTTAGTCGGTGGTCGATGGGATTGGGGTTAGGTGCGAGGTGGGAGTGGACTGTACCGTAGTAGGTATAGGGGAAGATCGAGGTCCACGTCTCTTCGGTGCTGGTTTGGTAGGCTAGTCCCCCGTACAAGTTGTCGATGCGCGTGGCGCTGCCCCCGTCGGTGCGCCGCGGGAGGCGGTAGAGTGAGGTGCTTTTAGTGAAGGTTGCTGGGTGCTTGCTTGTCGTGTTGGACGAGGGCAGAGTGGCGTAGACGGTCACGGTGTAGGGTTGGAGTTGCGCGGGGAGGTCCTGCAGGGGAATGGGGATTTCGTTGTTGCGCGTGTCCAGTGGGAGGGTGTAGTTGGTGAGGGACGTGATTGCTGTCCCGTTCGTGTCGCTAATCTCGATGTGCAGGTGCAAGGCCTGCGTGCTGTGGTTGCTGGTTGCTGTTGCTGTCAGGGGCAAGGGGTCACCGATGCGATGCGACACGCCGGTGTCGACCAAGAGACTGCCGCTGGGGTCGTTGGAGAGATAGATGCTCATGCGGGGTCGGACTTTGAGGTTGAGCAGGGGCATCACGGAGTATGAGGGCTCTTCGAACCATCCTCCCGGATTGAATGAGGCATTGCTGCAGTAAAAGGTCAGTGTTTGGAGACAGAAACCGATGGAGGTGACTTACGTCGCGCGATAGGCCTTGCCACACCAGATGTCCACCCCCGGGGGATTGTTGAAGGCAGCGCTCAATGGCACCAAGGCCAGCGCTGCGAGAATGTTCAGACTCGACCACATAGCAGCAGGCATAATAGTGAATAGACTGTTTTGAGTCCAATTGCGACTGCGTCTTCTTATCTACTGAACAATAGTTGACTAGTCGCCCCACGGCTCGGCCGATGTAACATGAAGCCGTGCGAGGCACTATCATGGCACAATGGCTTATCGATGAGGGGAACGAAGCCCTAAATTGCAACTCCTCTTCTTATCGACGCCCTCCCCGCCCCTAGCCATCTTAGCATCTTTTAGTCCCCTGCAGCTCGCCGGCTGCCTCCAATTAACGTTGCGCATGCACGGTCTGGCAGTTCCCGTGTCTCCAGTGACGATGTCACTGTGGCATTATTGGTGAGGGGAACAATATCGCATGAGGTCGGCCCAGTCGTTCAAATTCAACCTCTCCGGCGTGCAATCACTCCATCGCATCACTACCATGAGGAACGAATTAATGTTTTGGGTGACCCTAGCAGGGTCTGTCGGTTCTACTGCTGCCCGTGCCAATTCCTCCGTATGTGCCACAGACAATCTTTGACACTCTGCTTTCTAACAAATCCAGTCTACCCTCGTCTCACTCGAGCCATGCTTCAACAACAAGGCGTTCGGTCAATCGCCTGGCGAGGCCATCTTCAATGCAGCTAACGAGTCCTATCCCGATCCCAGCGTGCTGGGGATCAACGGGAGCTACACCTCATCGCAGACAGGCATCACCTACTCTTTCCCCGGATACCGCCAGGGTGGTCTGCCCGACAATGTTATCTGCGCTGGCCAGTCCATCGCAGTCCCCTCGGGTAGGTATCTATCTGCCTCGATGCTCGTCTCAGAGGATGTGGAGCTCGAAACTGTCTCCGGGGACGTGATCTACACCTACAGCGACAACACCACTACGGTGTCTGAGCTGCGGAGTCTCCCCTGGTGGGCCTTCCTGACGATCAATCGCGGCGAGATCATCTTTCCCTATCGATACACCCCCAACGACACGAATTTCAACACCTCGCACATCTTCGAGTATACCGCTGCGCTGGACCCGCTCAAGAGTCTACAGTCTGTCACCCTCCCCGTGACGACCAATGCCACCACAGGGCGACTGCACGTCTTTGCGCTATCCTTGTGGCCGGTTACCTCAACGGTGTCAGCGCAGGTGCAATTCGTGCGGCCCACCCAGAAATGGACGGAGCAGGGCAACCAGATCGTCGAGCTGACGGTCAACAATCCGGGCAATGAATGTATCTCGGGCGCAGGACTGACAGCCACGCTTGAGATGCCGGGCATTACCATGACTGAGCCCGGGCGTATCAAGCGACTCTGCCCCGGGGACCAGAAACGAGTCGACTTGGGAGTCAACGGCACCGCCAACGGCACGGCCACGATCCAGATCACTTACCAGGGTGAGATGCTGACCACCCGGACCGTCGATCTCTCCCTCGGATTAACCAACTACACCTCCGACCTGTCCAGCCTGGCTCGCCATGAGAGTCCCGAGTGGTTTGACGACGCCAAATTCGGGATCTTCATCCATTGGGGCCCGTACGCTGTGCCGGGTTGGGGCAACTCGACTCCGTGGGAGAGTTACGCCGAATGGTTCTGGTACGTTGTCCGTCGCCTACCCTATGTCCCCCCGTGGCCCTTTCACCACCCTGTCTCCCCCCAAAGAACGACTACAGCACCCACTAAACAAACAAAAGGTGGTACACCACCCACGAGGCAGCCGACAAATCCTCCACGCAAGCCTACCGCCTCCGCACCTTCGGCCCCTCCTGGAACTACGACGACTCCTTCGCCAACTTCACCGCCACCAACTTTTCAGCCAAAAGCTGGGTCGACCTCATCGCGGCCTCCGGGGCGAAATACTTCGTCCTGACGACCAAACACCACGACGGCTTCGCCCTGTTCGACACGGGGGACACCACCCACCGCAACAGCCTGCACTACGGCCCGCACCGCGATCTACTGGGGGAGCTGTTCGAGGCCGCCGAAACCCACCACCCGCACCTCAAACGCGGCACATATTTCTCGCTGCCCGAATGGTTCAACCCGGACTTTGCCCCCTACGGCTTCGCCCAGCTGCCCGGGAACACCTCGACGAGTTGGCCCGGTCTGCCGGCTGTGAACCCCTTCACGGGGAAGGAGGAGCCCTACACGGGGCGGATTCCGTTGCCGAACGTGACTGTACCCACCACTGTCACCAGCAGCACCAGCAGAAACCCCAACAACAGCACCAACACCACATCACCGACCACCCAGCCAGGCAACTTCATCGACTCACTCCTCCTCCCGCAAATGCAGATCCTGGCCCACGACTACGGCACGGACATCATGTGGTGCGACTGCGGCGCGGCCAACGCGACGGCCGCCTTTGCGGCCGACTTCTTCAACCAGGGCAAGCCGGTGGCCATCAACTCGCGGTGCGGCATCCCGCAGGCCGCCGACTTCGACACCCCGGAGTACGCGACCTTCAGCTCCGCGCAGCGCCGTAAGTGGGAGTCCAACATGGGGATGGACCCCTACAGCTACGGGTATAACCGGGCCACCCCGGCGGACGGATACATGAATGCGTCGACCATTGTGCGCGACCTGGTGGATATCGTGAGTAAGAATGGGAATTTCTTGTTGGATGTCGGGCCCCGGGCGGATGGGACGATTGTTGAGGCAGAGGAAAAGGGGTTGAGGGAGGCGGGGCGGTGGATTGGGGACCATGGGGAGGCGGTGTTTGGGACGCGGTATTGGTTTGTGATGGCTGAGGGGAATGCCGGGGCAGTCCGGTTCACCCAGGCCGAGGAGGCATTTTATGTGCTGTGGGTGGAGGAGCCGGTTCTCACAGACAGTAAGGTGGTGGTCGAGGCGCCGTTGCCGTTGTTGGTCGGGGATCGCGTGGTAGTTTTACGGGGGAATGACACGGCGGGGGTTTGGGAAATCGAGTGGGAGAAGGTCGAAGGGGGGTTCAGGTTTGATGTGCCAGAGGAGGCGTGGGAAGGCGAGAAATACTGCTGGGTGTTGAAGATTGAGTATCGGGCGTGAAGATGGCTACCAGTCAGCTAGATTTGTTGTTTGTTAACAACCTTGGAAGGCATCTTGTATGTAAGGTAAGTAAGCCAATCATCATTATGTTCCATCCATCTGAATATCCACAAGCCAATGCTAGAAAACTAAATCCTGTAGGTATCGTCTATCCTATCTTTGTCGCTGATACATCAAAATCGTATACTCGTAGTATGGTAAATCATATCCCATGCATGCCATGCATACCAACCACCCAAAGACCGATAACGCCCCGCGCTGCCCCCGACTCCAGTCCAGAAACACCTCAACTCTTTAAAAGGATGCCCCCTTCTTCGCGTCAGGCATGTCGCGCAGAACCTTCTGCAACCTGGCGATCGAGATCGGTTTCATCAAGAACAAATTAACGCCGCTGGCTCGCGCCTCCTGCTGGATGTCCGGTGACACTCCCGCCGTGAGGATGATAATGACCGTGGGCTCCAAGTGCTGAGCGCGCTCCCACTGCCGGATTTTCCGGGTGGCCTCAAGCCCATTCATGACCGGCATCGAGATGTCTGTTACTTGTTAGTGGGATTTACTTCGCAACAAGGGGAGGAGACGAACCCATAACCACGGCATCGAATGCCAAGCGTCGGAAAGCGTCAGTTGCTTCAAGCCCGTTGGACACCGAATGGTATTGAAGCTTCGACTTTCTGACGGCCATTTCGAGGAGCTGTCAGTCTAGGTTAGCATGCTGTATGTAAAACGAAAGCAGGGGCATCCGACCTGGAGATTTATAGCGTTGTCTTCCACGAGAAGGACTCTGCGGGGTCCAGACCCAGAGTTTGGCTGCCGTCGCTCAGTCGCTTGATCGTCCACGCCATCCACGCCATCCACGCCGTCGGCCATTTGACTGTCTCGCGGAGATTCCATTTGCTTGTCATCCAATTTTCGAGTGTCGGCATGCTGAGGCCGGGAGCCATTCATTGCAGGCTCTGACAACTGGATCTGAGCGTCAGGAGAAGTGGATAGTGTTGACTGCATTCGTGCAGGAGTGTTGTCTCCGGAACTTTCCTTGATGTCGAGGCACGTCTCGAAAGCAGTGGCCAGACTCTTGGGGCTCACACTAGATTACCTGTCAGCATTGACTACAACGCGTCGTCCTTGAGATTTACTCACGGTTGGTAGAAAAATACAACATCGTCCCGGTCGCTCCGGAAATCAGCAGCCTTAGAAGCGTTCGCGCTCAGCACGATCAGCGGGAACCCTACGCTGGCTGAGACTGATGGGGAGAGTCCGCCAGGTCCAGTAGCCTCGGGGTTGTAGTTCCTACTGTACTCATCCTGAGTGATGATGTTGATATCTGCCGGCTGTCCTTCTAGCTCTCCCGCCGTCAACACCTGCAAGCCAAACCAGTCGCTGATCATTTTACGCAGGTTGGCCACGATGTTGTCCACAAACTCCGGTTTCACTTTCAGGTCGTTGGCGCGGAAAGTATTCGTGAACAGTGCGACAGTGCGGCCTTGCAATCTCTTCTTGAGGGTCTGGTACCTCGACGACGCCAGCGATTTCTCTGGTCTGTCGGTGATCATGGTTACGGGGATTAGCAGACTAACTTCGGTTCCAACACCAAGCTCGCTGTTAAACTCGATCTGGCCGGACATTGATTTGACGATCTGGTTCACGATGTGCACACCCACGCCTAGCCCCGGGGACATAGTGTCCTCTTGGACGAATGCCGTGTACAGGTGATGCAGAATATAGTCTTCGGACATCCCGCGACCCGAGTCCGTGATAACGATCCGGACGGCAGGGACTTTCTCATTTTCGAGGAGCATGCTATCGTTCTCCATGCGTAGTCGGATACAGCCCTTCTCAGTATACTTCAATGCGTTGCCAAAGAGGTTCATGATGACTCGGCGCCAGGCGCCCGGGTTGACTTTGCAAAGCCAGCTTTCCTGCCACTGAATGTCGACAATAGTGATAACATCCTTGAGATTCCCTCTAGCCTTCTTCTCCTTCGCTTTTCTCTCTTTCTCGGGTTTCGTCTCGGTGGTTCTCCAGAAAAAGTCCTGGCCCGCGACCAAGCCTTCGACTACTTCCTGCACAATAAGGCTTAGGTCCTCTTCCTGCTCCGGCGGGCCCTGGGATTTGCTGGTACGGCGTTCTTCCTCATCCTTTGACTCATTCTGCTTCTGCGATCCCTGGGGATCGTTCAGCGCATTCATCTTGCCGTAATCTAGCAGGTTGTTCAGGGTGTCAAGCAAGGTTTTGCCGCAGCTAGAGACGGTCTCCAACAAAGGTCGTTGGGTGACACTCGTCGCCGTGTCGTTCAGGAGTTCCAATGTACCCAGGATGCCGTGCAGCGGTGAGCGTAGCTCGTGCGAGATCGACGAGATGAAGTCAGCCTTCGCGCGGTCGGCCGCCTGCAAATTCAGCCGCGAGATCTCTGCCATCACGCTGTTGCTGAAGGCCGCCATGTACGTCAAGTCCTTCGGCTCCGACAACACTCGGCCTGGATCTCTCGTCCACACCACATTGACTGCGAACCATCGGTTGCGCTGGAAGTCCCACAGAGGGAAAATCGCGATGCACCGGGCACCGGGCATGACTTTGATGAGGTCCCTAATATCCCGGTTTTCTTCCTCGATCATCGCATCGTGGGGTTGCTTCCCTTCCAGGCCTGCATCCTCTCCGCGAATATGGGTCTCCAGTTCCGAGCTGAGCGCAGTACCCTCATAGCTCATTGTGATTGTGCCGTCCGCATCGATATGGAAGATCTTTCCGCGCGAATAGCGGTCGATGATGCGACTCACCAATTCGCTTGAAAGTGAAACGTAGTGTCGATCGCTCGGCTCGTGGTCCTGGGTGAGACCAGCGTTCGTCGAGTGACCGAGCACCAGGGTGGCGGAGCCAAGATTCTGATCCTTGGCCGGTTTTTTCCCGGGTGTCACTTGGCTGTCGCCCGAAACCTTCCGAGGGCTGGGATTGCGTTCCTCGTGCAAGTCGCTAGTTGAGCCCATCATCTGCCGTCTCGCATACACTGACGCATCAAGGAACATTGTTCCTTCGACATCGAGGGCCTGATGAATTAGATTTGAAGCACGGCCGAGGATCGTTCGCACATTAGACGGAACCAGCGATTCTTGTAGACGACTTGTCGTAGGGGAAAGCTTCGGACGAGTTGGTCGTCCCTGCGCATGTGAGCCTACCGGGCTCTTGGTCGGCTTGTCTCCCACCTTTCCAAACCTATGTACAGTTGAGTCCGGGCTACGGCCACGCTTTGCATTGTAAGAAGGTGTAGTGTCATCGTCCTGACGCTCGCTAGTGGACGGTTGGAATGTATAGCCTTTTTCTTTGGGGGCTGTGTGAGTATTGTTGTTGTCGTCGAAAGGCTTGGAATTATCCCCATTGCCTTCGGCAGACTGAGAGGGATACCCCTGCTCTCCTGGGGATCCGGAGTTCCTTTTCGGAGAGTGACTCTTGTCTGAAGTATCGCCGTTCAAAGTAGGACTCTTCTCTGAATTGACACCGCTGTCTGGGGATGAGTTGATGTCTGAGGATGGGCTCCATGTACCCTTAGGAGACATAGGAGTGTCATCTTGATCCTCAAGAGACTTTGAGCTGATCCCAAATTGCTGTAGCTCCGATTGATCTTGTTGTTCCGGTTGGTCTTGCTGCTCCGGTTGATCTTGCTCTTCGTCCGAGATATCTTGCCGTTCTTCCGACCCATTTAGTTGCAATTCTTGTTCATCGGACGGCGGCTCTGTCTCGCTTTGCGATGTCTCCGACCCTTCATGTTGACCAGAGTCATCCTCCGAGTCAGTAACAGTAACCTTGAGGTCATCGAGACGATTCTTAACCTCCGACATGTCCACCAAGGCATCCCCCGCCTTCTTTATTGGCCGTCCATCCTGATTTTGGCTCCATTCCCCAAGGTCCGACTTGCCATTGACAAACAAAGCCAGGGCCTTTACCATCTTCTCTTCCCGATATTCCTCACGCATCGCTCGCTGGGATTGCAGGTGGTCGATCACGGTCAATGCCAAGTCTCGTACGCAGACGATTTCCTCTTCGACGAGTCCATCCCGAGGTTTGTCATCGATAACCACCAGATTTCCAATCACATGCTTTCCAGGGGACACGATCGGCACCGAGACGTAGAAGCGGTTATGCGGATGTCCGGCCACGGATGGATGGTCGTGAAAGCGGGAGTCTTTGGATAAGTCGCGCACCATGAAGAGGGCCTCAGGGTCCTCCACGGCGGCCTTCATCGCATGATCGCACATCTTCATGTATTCTCGAGACATCTGACACACACCAAGCCATAGATTTCCAGATTTCGCCTTCGCGTTCGAGTCCTGCTGATGATTATGGTGCCTGCGGAGGTCGTAGCGTGGCGTCGCCTCAGCTACTACGTATTGGGTGGTTCGATCGAAGAGGGAGATCAAGGCTCGCTTGGCTTTTAGCCGAAGTGTCGCTAGCTGCGCGAAAACGGTGAGGACATTATCACGAGACGCGTTGGCTGATCGCTTTTTGACGGGAGGGATTCCCCAGTAAGGGTAGAACCTTTGCCACGGAGAGAACGCGTCAGCGCAAGGATGAAGGAGAGGAAATTTGCGACCGTTAGAACGGGCCCGTGTCTTACATATGCATTTCGCGTTCGCGGGCTCCTTCGATATTGTACGTCAATCTTATCGGGCGTCCCGGTTCCTCTGCACCCGCCCCTTCTTCATCGCCAGGGATTTTGGCAGCATTTTTGTGGTCGCCCATGGTGAGTGAAGGGGAGGGAAGGCACTGGTGTTGGAGGGAGGTTGATAATTGAAGGTGGCGAGACGTTCGCCTTAGCGGTTCGGGCGGTTAGATTGGATCACGGGTCAAAACGGCGTTCACCGTCCAGGGGCTGGATGTTGATTTTTAGCAAACAATGTTGAACAGTAAGTTATTTGTGGTGAGAAATCGTTGAGATCGCTGCATTGCTGTTGTACAATTGGCTCATTCCCCACAGGATCTGGTTGTGCGGGGAAGCATCAAGAGGCTGCATCAAGATACTGCCGCCGGCGTGATCCTATATATTTCAAAGAGCATGGAACCCTGAATGGAGGTCGCGGGCATGCCGTCATGACAGCCACCGAGATGCCCGAATGGGGGACTAGCGAAGGGGACAAGACCCACCCGGGGCAGAGCTTTTGGGTGGGCAATCAAGGCAGCATGAGGAACCGCCCCTCGCCAGTGACATCATCGGGCCCGCCTAGAAAAGAAAAAGTGATCCATCAGACTTCGCCTGGCCCGAAACGCAAGGCAGCCCGATACGATAAATAGGGTCGTAACCACCACCATGGTTCACCCCGCCGTCTCCCCTCCCCCCCTAGCTGGCGCCCTTCCCACCGTCGCAAAATGGAATGAAGACACAATGCATGGAGGGCGGCAAATGATGACCTTTCCCGGTACACTGGTTGTCTCTGGGTGCTCAGTGAGTGTCTACAGAAAGACACACTGTCGATTGATCGAGAATCGAGCGGAACCATGTTTCCCAAGCCACCGATCCCCGACCGCAGGGTACAATGAGGGCTAGTGGCATTCCCGGAAAGATCCGAACAAATAGTCGTTCGGTCGAGTCAGTCAGGAGACGGACGAATTGAGCCCCTGGAGGGCGGTCGACCGCACTCCGAAGAAATCTCCCAAAGAGGCCTAGTACAGTACATGGAACTGAAGTATCGTCACAAGTCCGCATTTGGTAAGCGGCACTTTTACCAGCGAGTAGGTATTCAGGTCCAGGCTCAGTCTCAATTCCCCTTCGGAATGGTTCTAGTCCGGAGGTACTCCGTACTCATCATAGCCATTCCCCTCTCAGTGCAGTCTGGGCAATGTTCCGAGCTTTGAGTTTTTATCCATTCTGCATCACCTGCGATCCGAAGTGGGCTTCGATCTCAAAACGGCTGCCCTTCGTGTGGGCCGGGTACTTCCCCTCCCTTTCCAGGAGGAAGCGGCGGCGCGCATTGGTCAAGACTACCGTGGAAGTCACATTTCCGATTGATCTGGAATAAGAAGGGAACCCGTCGATCGTGAGCATTAGATCGATCCAGCCCACTGGCAGGTTAGAGTTCAACTACTCGTTAAAATCTCAACTGCATTAGCCGGCGAGTCACCTCGGCGGGGGCAGTGACGTATCGGTCAAAACAGATGACGTCGAACCAGCATCCAGGCCCACGGCTAGCCCTTCTTCATAACCATAACCACAAAAGCATTGTGATGTATGACATCCTACTTGCCTAGAAGCATGAAGGTCTCGTCGTCCCCCCTAGGATTCAGGTGACAGCTCGTCTTCGTCACATAGTAAATCCGTTGTGCTGTGTCGAATCCTTGTTGTGCTGTGTGTCTTCAGCCTCGCCTCCCCAAGTATATCATAGGAGGACGCCGCTCTCAACATGGATCAATGCTTCGTAGAGCGGGACCGTGTAGGTTGCATCTCGATTTTCCCGGCTATTCGCGTGACGATGGTAATATCATAGGGGCCGCAGGAAAAGTTATCCGAGCGGGCCAAATTGAGATCGTCACTGCTACCGTCTGTTCCGCACATCCACTGGCACGTCTTGGCCGCGGAAACGATTCATCGGATAAGTGACACAATAATTCTAGTTCCATGTAATACTGTATACTGAATGGCAGCCTCGCACGGAAGATCTGCAAAACTAAACCCGTTGCCTGGAGATGACAGTGCTTCTCAGCATTCCAACGCCAGGAGGACAAGGGAGACGCATGCCAGCTTCCAGTTGCCGCACGTCATGATCTCCACTACACCATGAGCATTTTGCTGTGTATTTTGTTATCTGTTGCGGCTCACGAATTGGAAGTCACAGCTAATGCAACTCAGGCACTGTGCCGTAATCTCTCAGTCGATCAATCTGTGCTGAAAAAGGCCAGGGTCCCATACATCTGGACGCTTGATATCCTAGGCGTGCACGCTTCATATCCTCGGAGCATTCTGTCTTTCGCTTTTGACTGGACCGCAGTTGCGTATTATGAGTATCTGGTGCTTACAAGTCCATTCAACTATTTCCTTATTGTGGGCATGGTGTCATCTTCGAAAAGCGCAATCCAAAATCTGGGCTCAATCGGGGAAACGAAGCTCTCAATATCGGCTGCCCTCCACTGAAAAGCATTTGTGTCGTGCTGTACACTTATACAGTCTGAATGCAGCACAATCAGAGCAGAGCCGGTCGCCACGCCACTAGGCATGTTGCATAGTGAGCACGAGAATGGGCGGAGAGAGAGTGACCTGCGGCTCGGACGTTTGGTCAATCCCATTGTGAGGAAGTTTAGATTCGCAAAATAAGATAAAGACGATATCACAAATCAAACACTTACTGATATCGGAGCCTCGCTGCTCTCAGGCGTCTGAGGTAGTACTTTCCTTCCTGAGCGCAGGTACCGGCATGGAAAGAATGCCCGAAACGCAGTCCACTCAAAGCAATCATGCAATAGCCATAACCGACCCATGCATAGTCAGGCTGGAATCATCCACTGCCACAGGAGCTCTGGTGCTGAGAAGAGGCCAACCATGACAGTTGATGAGCACATCTTGTCTTTCTGTGCAGTAGTCAAAGCTTGAATTATCGCGGTGCGAGGTAGAGCAATGAGCAGCTCGTCCCGCAGACATCTTCTCCTTCAGACAGTCTCGTCGTAAAAGTAATTCAGTGTTCAAACTGCAGCCTCGATAAATAAAAGGAGCTAGATCGAACCGTCCAGAAGCGAGATCTTGGGTAAATAAAAGAAGAGATGGGAGTACTATGGAAGAACAGTATAGGTACTAGGTGGGACCATATGTCGCACTAAACCCCATTAGGTCACAGTTTGACGGGTGGGGGCTAGGCCTAATAAGGACATCGGCCAGGTACCATGACTGAACTTATTCACTACATACTAACTTGCTACCTCTCCATCCCTCCTAGACATGTTTCCCCGCACATTGACTTCTTCCAATCCAAGCTTCGAACCTGACTGGGACTCACCAGAAGTCTCACCGGATGGGGCCTTCTAAGGAGATTACTCTCTGCTACCCTGGTATTGGGTTTCACAGTATATATTTGCTTGTACCTCTGCTGCCTCTGCTTCCTCTGGTCCACAAAATATACTGACTGACAATCGGTCCATCACAGAGCGACAAATAAAGACTTCATGCAACCTAGCCTCCAATTATGACTGCAGCAACACCCTGGAGCTACGATTTATCATGGGTTCAGTTGCCATCCACAACAATGAAGTCCGAACAATTTCAGCCCTTTGTTCGCCAAGTGCAGTCGCTCAAGCGACCGGAGCAGCGTCAGAAAGCTCAGTCGACGACACAAAGCGCAGGTTACCCTCCAATCCGGCACATTACTTCAAACCATCGCGCGATGCTCTTTGGTCTTGGCAACAGGGCAGATTGCCCAAGCAGCATGAGTGTAATTCAGGTACGAAGACGGCCGTTCTGCTCATTTTTCAGTGAATTCGCGGCTCCCTCAGTATCGCAACCTCAAGAACCATACTGAGCATTACAAAAGCTGGACTAGCTTATTCTAATCTCAGGTGGCTAACGACCAAGACACCATTAGAGGATGGGGAAGGGTGCTTTTCAGCAGTACTGGGCTTATATGCTACTTGCCCGGGTCGCAGCAAGACAGGCACCGTGCATACGGCAGCCTTGCCACGACGTTCTAAAGGAAACCTGGACTTTCTAGCCTGTGGCGAGTATCCATTCTTTCATGCTCGTGTCTCGCCGGGAGCCTCGCTGATATTCGAGCTTGTCTCTCCAACGTTGACCAATGCCTAGCACTCGAAGCACGAAACAGCAGAAGGCGAAGCTTACAGCTGCTCGCATGGCTTCAGCACTCGTTGCCCCTTGACATTTTCGTCGAAAATCCCAACTGCGCAGGGAACAATCGCAAATAGCGTCATCCAGAGCTGGGACTCGTCACGATTGCCGAGGCAAAAGCTCATGGTGGCCTAGATAGTTGGGCAGCCTACGATGCGCATGCTGAGACGAGTGACTGCGAGTGTTCAGATATTGAGTATGCGCAAAACCGCCAGTTCCGCAGTGTATCCCAATGCAGCCACAGGGCAATTAAAGGGGCTGATTCTGTTCGTTGCTGCGGGGATACTGAACAAACACAACCGGGGCTCATACATGATGTTAGCAACCGACCAAATTGTGGCCAGTGTGACGTCTGCATGAATTTGTCGCCTATATTTCGTCGACTAATATTTCCCCAGATATCTCTGGTCATCTTTCAGATAGCCCTTCCCTTTTGTTATCGCCCGGTGACATCGTCTGTGTCTCAGCCCTCGTCTCATTAAGCTTCTGTTGATCGCAATCCCGACGCGCCGCTATTCTATGATTGCTAAGACCCAGAAGCTCATTTGCACCCCATACCCAGACTACTGATTGGGTCTATCCGGCTCCTGAATGAACCCGCTTGGCTCGACTGCTGCTTGATAGTCCTCTCAATTTTTGCTTACCTTTGCTCGAGGTATGCGCTCGTGATAAGGTGACGTGCCATCGAATGCTCATTGAGAAGCAGCTGCTTGGTAGGATCGAATTTCACCATCATTTTCCTATTTGTGTCGACGACTATTGATCGGCGTGCATGCAGCCAACAGCGAGTGTTGTGAAGGCACGATATTACAGTCGTTGCTGAGATCGGCCGCTCCTGTGATTCCCAGCCCAATGTATTCATACCGGTGGTGGTAGAGAAAACAGCTACCATGCATGGTGGCATGTCCGTGCTGCCTTG